ATTATTATTGTTATTCTTATTATCATTATTATTACTATTATTATTATTATTATTATTATTATTATTATTATTATTATTATTATCATTATTATTATTATTATTGTTATTATTATTACTGTTATTATCATTATTTTTGTTTTTTAAACATTATTACCGTCAGAGACATAGTTTGGAGGATATCTTTTAAGAATTCCAATTTCAGGTCGACTGGAACAAATACTTCAAAGCCATGATGCCCGATGAATTGCACGAATACTTAGACACAAATCCAGATATAATTGTGAACGAAGTTGATTATTTGAAGAAAGTAACCAATCTACTGAAGGTATGAGCTGATTTTCAGCATGCTTTGCTACCATGAACGGATGGGAGTGGGCGAGCAAGGAGCATTCACTGAGAATGGGGGGGGGGAGAGATAGAGAGGGGCCGAGAAAGCTCACTTGGACCCGAGATACTTCTTTGCGGTCTCTGTTATATGCGAGGAAAAAATGGCCACTTTGGACTGAATTTGGATCACAATTTGGGTCTCTTTTTAAAAGTTTACGTTTTGTCTAATGCAATAATAATTCTGGTGAATAACACTGTTCGATGTGCTTGCTGAATTCCGTCTCAGTTGAAGCGTGCATCCAATTTCAGACTGTTGACGCACGTATTCTAACGAATTACATTGTTTGGCGCTACACATCAGCCTGGAGCTTGCAGTTGGGCAGTCGTTATGATGATATATTACAGGTGAGGAGAAACTTTTGAACTTGAATGATAAACTTATGCTTGATGATTACTATGGAACAACCTTTGGAGGCACATCTTAAAGCATTTTCAAGAATTTTTGATCCTTCGGAACTTCGTCGCACTTTATTCAGATGAAACATCGCGTCTTCACATAACTGATTCTGTACGACGTTCTCTTTGTTGATACTAAAAGCGATTTGAGGATTTCCTTCGAGTGTTGATCGGTAAAGAGGTGAAATCACCACGTTGGAAAGACTGTAGTGCGACTGCCTCAAGCCATATGGGCGATGCAGCAAGTGCGCTCTACGCTCGCAAATATTTCAATACGGTACGCCGACTGACAAGCTTATAGCAAACTCTACTCTCTCTCTCTCTCTCTTAACTGAACAAGTAAAGGTCAAACCANCTGAACCAGGCTATGATCCGGCTTGTATCTATTATCCAGTTATCTGTTATTATTCCTTAAAGGTCAAGAGTGTAAAAGTGCAAGCTCAAAGAAGCAGTGTATCTTCATTCGAGGACTGATCTCCACATTCTGAGAACTCTCTAGTGCAGACCTGAAAACACTTGAGTCGATTGAATTCAGGCGGCGCTCTGAAAAATAATTTCAGAAAGACAAAAAAGCAGTTTTGGATATGATCAAGGATCTACATGATGCGTTCCGTGAAATGGTGAGCGAAAACGATTGGATGGATGAGCAAACCAAAAAAATTGCCATCGAAAAATCGAAAGCGATGCAAAGTTTGATCGGATATCCGGATTTCGTGTTGAGTGACAAGAAACTTGACGATTACTATAAATTGGTAAGGAGATTGGACGACGTTTTTTGGCAGGTTCTGAGCGCAACTGAAATTGAGTTTCACCAGTCAAAAAGTCTGGAGTTAACTCAAAAGGGACGATTTTTGTTTTCTTTTCCGAATGGTTGCAGTTGAAATTGGAACAAGGAGATACATACGCGAGCATGGCACAAAAGACGACTAAATGGGCACAAAATTATTGGTTTAGAAAATTGATCGAACCAGTGGATAGAACTGAATTTGAATTCTCATCGTCGACTGTGAATGCCTTCTATGCACCGCCCAAAAATGCCATCAGTAAGAATATTTCTAAGTTTCGC